ATAATTAAATAAAACACTATAAGCATTTAGAAGTAAGTAATTCTAATCATGTAAATCATAATTCAAAAATTAGTTCAATTTTCATTAAAGTGCTTTGTGATAAACGATGTTTTTTGTTTGATTACCTGGCGTATAGACGAACAAATCTGATGGTTTTTCCAATACGGGAACAGACAATTTTCCATGTGAGAAACATGGGTTTCCAAATTAATAACACAAACACTTAATGATACCAGAAACGCACTGGAAACTGTAGTCGTTTAATCTCAAATGGCACATCAGTCGGAAACATTGGGATGCACGGTGCGAGAACATCTTTTGCGTTATACTATTCTTTCAATATAGTTGCTTCCATCACGTTGTTTGGTAGTTTTTTTATCGCTACCACCTTGTGCCGTTACAAAGGCGCGGTTGCTCGATATTTCGCAATATTATAATTGCCGGTCCAACCTTTAATTGAAGCTTGTGAAGTGACAATCCTAGCAAATCCAGCGAGTTTAAAAACTCCGGTGGATCGTCTTGGTTAGTTGCCGAATCAACTGATTCGCCTGTAATTTGTTCTTGAATTTTGAAATTTAATTCATTTACACCAATACTTTTGGCTGCCAATATAGCTCGTTAATTAATAGAAAGATATTTCTATGTTTATATAAATATATTAAAAATTAGATTATCAAAAACTACACAAAATATCAAGACATAGATCATTGTTTTTTTTTCTACAAATTTTGTTGCCTACTCGATTAAAAAAGAAAAGGGCTGTTTTTAGGGTTTTCTCGGCAATTATTCGATTTTTTCTCTCCGTAAGATCCATCTTTGGACATAAACGAACATATTAAAGGAAGAATTGGCCAAATTGGTCCAGGCGTTGTTGAGTTATGCGCTTACCAACACATTTTGCGATCCATTTTTATATATAAGATTATTAATTAATTAATTTAGTTCACTAGATATTATATTAACCATATTTAATTAAAATGATTTATTTATAAATTGCACTAATGATTAGACAAATCTTAGTTATGAAATATTTGTAACATTAAATATTATTTAATAAATAGTGTAAAGTTTTGAGTGCAGAGTTTTCATACTTTCAAAGAAAGTATGTTTTCCACTTATAATACTTTTAATATATATATATATATATTAGGGTGGTCCTTAAAATGGTCATTTTCGAATTTCCTTGCTCCCAGGGGCTCAAATGGTTCCAAATAGATAAAAAACAATACTCTGAAAGTTTTAGCTCTTAATATTAACGTTTAGATAGAGCGCAATTCAATCAAAGTTTTGTATGGAAATAGCATGAAAAATTTTTCAAAAATTTTAAAAATGTTCTTTAGATGTAATTTAGCGAACAAATGAATGAATAAAACTCATTCGTTTGTCGCTAAGTTACACTTAAAACATTTTTTTTAAATTTTCAAATATTTTTCCATGCTCTTTCCATACAAACTTTGATTGAATTGCGCTCTATCTAAACATTAATATTAAGAGCTAAAACTTTCAGAGAATTGTTTTTTATCTATTTGGAACCATTTGAGCCCCTGGGAGCAAGGAAATTCGAAAATGACCATTTTAAGGACCACCCTAATATATATATATATATATATATATATATATATATATATATATGTATATAGATATATACATATTGATGAATTATAACAGTTGTTGATAACGGGTAGAATGTTCTTCAGTAAAATCGGTACATTGCAAATTATACATCGCAGAAAATTTTATCCTCAATGACCATCTAACTTGTAAATGAATGTCATAAAGAAATGAATCAAGAAAGAGAAATAATAGAAATCTATTAAAACATTCAATATATTACAATAATATAAACAATATATTCATTTCATAATCAATGAGATCACCATGATCAATGAATCTATCTTAAATCTAAATGCGATAGAAAACCGAAACAACAAATGAATCCATTCAAACCGACACAAAACTGAACCAAGAAATAAATCAATTCAAACCAAAAAACAGAGCATCAGTGTCCAAATTCTAGTATAATCTTGAAACAATGATTTTTATTTGTTTTCATTTCATTATCAATGAGACTATCCTAAAATAGTCTCTCATTTTATATTTAACATTTTGTGGAATAGCAGGATAATAAATTCTTAACAGAGAGCATGCTTACATATTTCTCAGACTTAATTTGTATAGTTAAATTTTTACTGCTATCTACTCATTTACCAAAACAAAATTATATAATTAAAATAATTTATTTAATAACTCAAATCAATATAACCTTTAACAGTAATGATGAGAAAGATTCATCAGATGATGCTACAGATATTAACACATAATTACACCAGCTTATAATATTTAACAACCAGAAAACTGAATCAAGAAAAAATCAAATAGAGCCAAAAAGTCGTGCAAATATAATCAGTAAAAGCGACAAAAAAGAGAATATAGAAATAAATCAATTAAAACCGCAATGTAATGCATATACATGCCCGAAATCTTAGGAAATCTTGAAACAATGATGTTTACTTCCATTTCATCATCAATCAAGAAATGAATGAATTAAATCCGAAAAGTAATATATGGCCGAATTATTTTACTTATGAATTTTATTTGTTTCCATACAATGCTTTTTTTTTTTGCAAAAGCGCGCTAATCTTCGATCTTATATCGGTCGGTCGTGGGTACGTGGTGTTTCGGACGGTTTGTTCGTTATAAATAATATATCTGGCTAGGTCCCGTACCGATCGTTGCTTCGGATCAGGCCAAGTATAGTGTGTTGGGAGACAGCCAAAAAATCAAGGGGGGGCCACACATACACGACCAAGTAAACAGAACAAAAACACAGAGGCGTACTTGTAGAAATTATTATGGAAAATTGAAATTAGCTTCTCTACCAGGCTAATTTCCAACAAAAACACAGAGGCTACTAGTAAAAATTATTATGTACAATTAAAATTAGCTTCTCCACCAGGCTAATTTCCAAAAAAAAAAATACAGAGCCGTACTTGTACAAATTATAGACAATTGACTTATGGTCAATTGAAATTATTTTGGTTTAGACATACCAGATCATATAATCATGCTATAGAAATCATTTCATAACTAACAATATCGTAATTTTATGTAATATCTCAATTTACTAATCAGTACTTGCAATAGAAGATTAATTAAATGATCGTGTTCTTTAAAATGTACATGTGTACACACCCTGTCTTTACTAATATTGAGCATCTTTGTAAAAATTAATTTCTATAATATAATTTGCTTAGCAAACTTGATTATTTTTTCCATGTTTACTTAAACATAATTGAACACACTGCACAATTTGTACACTAATTATAAAATAATATTAATGCTGCAAACATTCACAGATTAAGGTTTGTCTCATCTATATAAATAATTTTAAATATTTAATTAATATTACTTAGTTAATTATTTATTATATACTAGCTGACCCGGCAAACGTTGTTTTGCTAAAAATAAGTAAGATATATTCTAAACAATTTCTAGAGATTCAAAAATAATAATACTTTAAGATGACATACATCTCTTTCCCTCTACTTTAAAATATTGTTGTTAAACAATGGTTAAGTTTACTGGTTTTTGACACATCGGTGGTGGACCTTTTTAACCCCGGACCTTTGCTAAGTAAGGTACATTCTAAACAAATTCTAGAAATTCAAAAATATCAATACTTCAAGATTACATACATCTCTTTCCCTCTACTTTAAAATATTGTTGTTAAACAATGCTTAAGTTTACTGGTTTTTGACACATCGGTGGTAGATCTTTTTAACCCAGGACCTTTGCTAAGTAAGGTATATTCTAAACAAATTCTAGAGATTCAAAAATATCAATACTTCAAGATTACATACACCTTTTTCCCTCTACTTTCAAATATTGTTGTTAAATAATGCTTAAGTTTACTGGTTTTTGACACTGATGGTAGACCTTTTTAACTTCGGACCTTTATATATTACTATCTATTCTTCGATAAATTCTGAGAAATTATAACTGGATAAATGTTATTCGACAAAATGTCCCTTTGATCGGTACCAAATTTAGGTTCTGAATTGAAATAACATAAAAAAAATAATATAACCTAGAAAATATTTTATAAATAGCATTGAGTATATAATTATACAAATGAAATCTTTCAGAACACTGTGTTTGAGAAAAATATTTTATAGAGATTTGCAAAAAAGAGTGCTACATTTTAACATTTCAAAAAATTGATATTTTGAGTTTCTAGCCCCTTTACTAACGTTTTTGTATATAAATAAAACTACAAACAAAACTACTTACTACAATTTAATCATAATTAAATAATATTCACGTAAAACATCCTATTAAACGTAATTGAACATCATCTGTCAAAAACGTTTGACATTTGACGTATCAGCAACCGTCCATTGTTTTATTTAAATTACGCTTCTACAAAAATTAAAAATGTAAATTTTCTATGCGGTTTTGAAATAATATCTCACCTTTCCGACAACCTACTGATTAGCACGAATTTTTCAAGACTAAGGCTGGCCAAATCGGTTTAGCCGTTTTCGAGTTTTAGCGGATCAGTTTATAGAGAGCTCCATTTTCATATATAAGAAGACTAAGACTTTTAAGTATTTAATATATATTTATATTTGCGCCAAAGTTGAGACAAACCTTAGTCCCGAAACATTTGCCACATTAAATTTACTATTATAAATAATGCAAGAAACAACGCAGTGCATTTTGATAAGATACTTTTACTATTGTTCATATTTAAAATGCTTATGTGTATTCACAGTATTCACACTTTCCTTAGTTCTATTAAATTTTAAGTATTTTACTTCATACAGAAATAAATGAATTAATTTGGGTGTAAAAAACTAATGTAAAAAACGATTGTATCTCACGACAAGTCATAGCATGATAGAAAAATATGATTGGCATTTAAGTACAGTACAATAAAATAATTTAAATTTACTTACCCTATCTGTTACTTCGCAATTTAAACTTTTGTATTACATTTATGTAGTTTAATTACTTTATTTTGGCTTGAACATAGTTTGTCGTGCAATTTCATGTAGTTCAATTACTTAATTTTTGCTTGGAATCAATTTTGTCTCCTTATAAAATCCAAACAAACAGCACAATTCTTATGCTGACTTCAATTTCTTGCACAGATTATAGCTACCTAAAGAATCAAACGCTATTACTATTTCAATTAAGAGAAAGAAATACATTATCTCTACAACGGATAACAATTATCTCTCAGATATAAATTAAAATATTGAATATATAAATAATTATTAATACTTATTATTATCATCAGATAAATCCTTGAACGCTTAAGAAAAACTTAAAATTAAAACGTAAATTATGATTCTTCTTACCCTTGAAACTTCCTGCTTTGTATGATTGTATAGATCTCCGATAGAAATTCTTTAGCTTATTAAATTATTTGTGATTGTTTACTATTTAAAATAGAACAATAAAGATATAAAAGATGAAACATACAGATATTAAACAATCAATCGTCAACATTTGAATCGCATTCTTAATATTGGAATTAATTAAAATACAAGATAATTTAAATTTATCTAACAATTATCTTTTAGATACAAATTAAATCATTCAAATATTAAAGAAAATAAATATGTATGTCTTTCCAAATAATTCAGATAGTTTAGGTCTATTTGCACGCTTAATATAAACTTAAAATTAAAATGTGAGTAATGAAACTTCTTACCATGGAAACTTCTTGCATGTATTTGTATGAGTAAGCTTTGCATCTTCGATAGAAATTTTACATTTTGTGTAATTGTTAGTGATCACGATTTGTCAATCGTCACTGTTATGAATCACATTTCTTATATTGGAATTTAAATAAAATGCAAAAAAAATAAAATTGCTTGCCCTTTGTTTATTTCATAATTTGAACTTAGGTAATTTTTGCTTGGGCTTAGTTTCTTAGTTAAAGCAATTCTCATAAGATATATGTTAACTTCAATTTCTTGTACAGATTATAGCTACCTAAAGAATCATATGGTTTTACTATTTCCATTTGGATAAACATGTGATATAAAGATAAGATATAAATTCCATTCAAGTATGAAAAAATAAACATGTATATATTTTTAAATAATTCAGTTAGCTTAGGTCTCTATGCCAATATGCCCTTCAACTCTTAATAAATACTTAAAATTATAATCTCTATAATGAAACTTCTCACCTTTCTTAGATGTAGTTGTATCAACGATATAAATTCTCAAATTTATGAAATTATTTCAAATTACTTATTTCGCAATTTGAACCTTCGTATGCAGTTCAACTACTTAATTTTGGCTTGGGTTTAGATTGTCCATTCATAAATTCCAAACAAATAAAATAAGTACATTTTCTATATAACGGATAACAATTAATCATCTTGAAGATATAAACTTAAACATTTAAATAATAACGAAAATAAATATGTGTTAAAATTATTTTGTCAACTTACGCCGCCATGATATGATTTTCACTAGAACTTGAAAAAATACTCTTAACATTAAAATGTAAATAATGAAACTTTTTACCTTTGAAACATTAATTTCTGAGCTTATTAAATTCGTTATGATTGTTTACTATTTAAAATAGAACACGACAGATATTAAACATTCACTCGTCACCATTTTAAATCGAACAGAACGTTGTTCATTATTAAACTTAAGTGAAGTAGGTTCAACATAGCAAAATTTGTTGTTAATCATTTCTTATTAATTTGAGTTGATTAATTACAAAATATTGATTATTGCTATTCTGTATCAATTTAAGTTTTTGTATCTTTAACATTTGCAAAAGCTCTAATTATAAGTTACATAACTCATAATGATATCCATTTATGTTTAACTTATCTATGATAATATCATAGGGCCTGTTGCATTATGGCAACACTTGTTGATGGAAATAATAATCTGATTAATTATTTAATAAATATTTGTTTTATCGAGATTGTTTGAATATATTAACATTTGTTAAACATTTTAATATAATAATTAATATGTAGAAAGAAAGTTTTAATAATTTTTTCAAGTTGAATTTTTTTTTATCGAATGTTGGTACCACTAGCTGATCGTCAATGATTGTTTGGAAGTGGGTGTTGTGAAACAAATTAATCAATAACAAATAAAATAAAAAATATTCAAGCTCTTTATCAAGTAATTATAATAACAATTATAAATATATTTTATTATCAACTATTTATTTATAAACTTTATATTAGATTTGATAAATTGCATCATGTTTTCAGAATTGAAATTCTTACTGTCAAAAAGGCGTTTCCTTGTCCTCTCAATTTGATGTAATCGCTTTAATTGAATAAATGAAAATAACGTAGAATAAAATTTGAATTCTATATTATATTTCCGGATTTAGAAAAGGATGTAACCGATATTTCAATTTATAATATAGGTTAAAACTTATTGAATTTTGTTTTGTAACCTAAAATTTTATGAGCAATTTATTGTATTGATATTAATTTTGTAAAATACTTAGTAATATTTTGAAACGAGTTACCCTAATAATTGATTTTTACGCAAAATATCACTATTTCTACATATATGAATGTAGTTAGATTATAGTTGTATGTATATAGTTAAACGTTTTTCTGAATGATAATTTAGTTTATTGTTCATGGAAGTTTTATTCAAATTGCTTTTATATCCATATTAAGCAAGTTTTACTAGTATCAATTTCACCTTTCAGACCTCTTCCACAACAACCAAAACTACTATGACGACTCCAGCAAAATTGTATGGAAAAGATCTGAGTGAATACGATGAAATTGATGTAGACACACTTTTATCACAACTATCACCTGAAGAGATAAATATATTAGCGAAAGAAGTAGATCCAGATGTAAGCATTAAGTATTGACTGAATTTCTAATCATTATCATAATAATATGAATTTATAATAATACTAGTTAAATGTTTGATGTTTGAATTTAATTTAAATAGGACTCATTCTTGCCACCAAGTCAAAGATGCAGTTATGAGTGTGAGAAAGAAGCAACTGGACCACTAAATCGCCAAAAATTAATTGACCACATCAATAAACAAGCTCTAGAAACTCCAGATATTCCCGAACTGAAACCCTATGTGGCTGGTACCATAAGAGGGAAAAAGGCAAGCACATGAATTGATCATAATCTAAATAATCCAAATAAATCATTTATAAAACTGATTGTTGAATGCTTTTTGTAGTGGATACCACCTCCTGAAAGTGCTAAAGTAAAGGAAATTGAAGAAGAAATTGCTATTGACTTAGGTGATGAATATGAGACCGCCTTATCTGATGCCACTCAAGAAGAAATTATTGATTTAGCTGGTATGATCTATTTTTTCTATAGAAGAGACAATTTGAACTTTTTCAATATTATATATATATTTTAGCTATCTTGGGCTTCCACTCTATGATGAATCAAGATCAATACCATGCTTCTTTACTGAATAAAGGCCAACCTCTTGGAATGGGTTGGGATGGTATAACAAAAGCATCAAAACCTAAAATTTATCCACAAGATCCTCCTAACACTACAGACCCCGATGATAGCATCAAACAGGTTAAAGAGGATGATCACAAGTTAATTGATATGAATTGGAATAATATTAAGGTAGACTTTATCACTTTGGAAATCTAATTTAATATAAGCATTAAATTAACAGGTTTATATTCTTTTAGAATATCTCTGATGAGAAATTTGAGCAGCTGATTGATTCTTTACCTTCTAATACACATCTGGAAGTATTATCACTTTCCAATGTTGGTCTAACAGATCGTTTGGCCTTGCAATTAGCCAAAGCATTAGAACAAAACAACACATTGCGAGTAGTCAATGTTGAAACCAACTTTATATCTCCACCTGTGATTGTTACATTGGTTAAATCACTGCTGAAAACTAAGAGTGTGGAGGAATTCAGAGCATCTAACCAAGTAAGAAATCTCTGATATCATATTTTTAGATGATATTATTTCATATTAATGTTATTAGTATTGTTTTATATTGATAAATGTTTTTTCAAGTCTTAATTCATAATATCCATTCCTTCCTGTCTTGGTCATATTTGTTTCTCCATCTTGACTTGAAATATATTTTGTCTTTATATTTTTAGAGGGCATCTGTTCTTGGCAATAAGATAGAGATGGAAATTACAGATTTAGTTGAGAAAAATCCAACACTACTTCGTCTTGGTCTCCACTTGGAATACAATGATGCTAGGCATCGCATTTCAGCACATTTGCAAAGGAACATTGACAGGAGTGAGTACCAATTTTCTATTATTATTTATTTATAATAGCCTTTAGATTTTAAACAGCAGATCTATATACTCCTAAATTTTTGGGGTATACATTGATGATGAAATAATTCCTATTCAGTAATTTAGATGTTCTTTGATCGTCTTATTTGCTTTTTTAATGATGGTGTAATAAATTTTAATTCTAAGTCTTTTATAATAGCAAAGTGCTTAATTCAAAATTTATAAGCACAATCACAATAATTATTAATATCTATAATAATTATTTTTTATTCACTAGACAATAATTATTATAATAACTATAGTTATTAATATGGTAAATTGAAATTTGTAAATGAGTCAAAATCATTTTTTTCAGCTGTTTAATTGCAAATATTTTCTTGAAAGATTATTTTGGACTCTCTTAGAATAAAATATTTATTTCTATTATGGAATATTTGATATTGAATCCCACATTTTGATTTATTTCCAAAATGACATACTGCATCAATTGAACAACAGTACTTTACAGAATAATATTTGTTGAAATATTATTTGTCTTAAGAGTCACTTAACATTTTTTGTTTAAGTGAATATTTAATTGAAACACTATAGCTTCACTTCCTAAAATGCACATTCTTCACTCAGATATATCTTGACACAGACACAGATGATGTTTTCAACATTTAATTTAAATACACAATATACACTACACATACCCAAGCTGTTACTGTAATTTTTGAACTAAAATGTTTTTATTTATTTGTCCTCTGTCTTGATTGTGCAGAACGAATGAATAAAGTCATTGAAAACATAAGCACTTCTTTCAAACTAAAATTGCCTCGAAAAAGCCTGGAAGCAAACAATTCAGCACACAACAAAAATGGTGATGTACATCTAACATCTGCGGAAAATGTTGATTGTGCACTTGAGCTTATTCAAAATGAAATTGTTGATGATCCCACAAATATAGAAAACAGCGAGAAACAAAATGATTATAGCCAAAATGTGATAGAGGCTGAGAAAAATAGTGAAACTGATTTAGAGAACATTAAGAGTGAACAAGAACAAGATATCAACCCTGAGGATCAATGATATAATTATATAGAATTATAATTGATGTTAGTACAATATCAATCATGTTGTTTAAGACATCAATATCATGATAACATCATTGTCTTCTGAGCACAGAGATAAATATATCGATTGAATTTTTTTTCAAATGATCATCACTCTGTCTATATCCTTATTGGAATTTATTTCAATATTATTACAATATCGAAAGCCATTGAATATTGCTACCCTCTATTTATTTCTTTCAAATTGATTACACCCAATTGTTAATTCATATCATCTTATTACTTTTTGGTTTTTGCAAAAACATTTGGAGCTCGGTCACTTTCTCAATGCCTCAGAAGCTTAAAGTATTAATTACTTCATGACATTTTTCCTCAACCATTTGATATAATAAATATTATTTTTGTTGCTGATGGATTAATGTGCTAACACAGGAATTGAGAACTAGAAAATGATGAATGATGAATTACTGTTTTTCGATGTTTGTTGCTTTATAATTAATAATTTCTTCAAACTTGGATCTCGACTCTGGAAAATGCACACAGCTGTGATGTGCCAGTGAAGATTTTAGATTTTATGTGTAGTGTTTTTGTGGTTTTTTGTTAATATTATTTGAAACTGAAATACAAAGCTCTACACTTTTAAAGCAAATTAAAATATTCAAAGATTTTAAAACTCAGTCATGGCATAATAGCACCTATATGATATGAATAATATATATATATATACATAATAATTAAATACATATATAAAGGTGGGCCAAATTTTCTAGCCATTGGAACTCATTACGATATTGTTTCTATCTAATAATAATTGCCTAATAATTTACAAGAAACATAATTTTTTCTAAATAGGTTTTAAATATTTATCTCAAGCACATGCAAAACCTTTCTTTTCTTGATTTAAGTTTTAGGTGCATATTACATGAAGAAGAACTTTTCTAATCATTTTATTCATTAGCTGATGTACTTTACTTGTATTTAACAATTGTTAATAATAATTGGTATTGCTAGGATTTATAAACTCGTACCCTAATACAAAATTCGATTAGTAAATCAATCAATAAGTAAAAGATAAATGAATTATGATGTTTTTTATAATGTGAAACTATTTTGGATTGTATTCTCTCTTGTGCCCGCAGTACGCAAAGACATTACTGAGCGGCTACAGTTCCGATTCTTTAACAGCCTGCACAGGAAAGGGACTATGATACAGTAGAACAAATTTATAATCAAAACAAATTTAAACTATTTTACCAAGGTATATGAATAAAAGTCACACATCCAAACATACAGTTTCTAAACAACTTTTAACATACTCACACGAAGATACACTAAACCAGATGTTTCCAACGATTGAAAGGAAAAGATTCTTATTCTATGATAAAAGCATTATGTGGTCATTGAAAATTTTCAGAATAACTGGTTCAGAAAATGATTCTTAATATATGATAAAAGCATTATTATGTGGTCATTAAAAATCACCTGGAAATTCATATTAATACTTGAATTTATATTATTTTTGTGAGTAAATGATTGATGCGCGTTGGAAACTTCTGATGCACTTGAAAGATGATCGAAAGTTACAATTCAATAAATTTTAATCTAAATTTAAATTTGATTGATATAAATCAATTGTCAAGTTATTTTTGTTTAAGTAACTTCTCGATCTGTTTAGTGCAAATGACACAACTGTAAATACTCCACTTTTTGACACACTTTTTTGAATTTTTTCGATTTTGAATTAATCGGTAAACGTCCCAGTGGTATGCAAATATATAACTGTTCTAAAATTAACCCTTAAAACTTCATGTTGTATTAATATGTTTGCACGAGTAAAATTATCCTAACTTAGATTAAAAACGAATTTGATTTGATATGAAAATTTAATATTTTTAGTTAGTATGCATGTCTGTGATATATTTGCTAAAAAGATTTTTAAATTGAAGTACTCTCTGATTGAAAAAAATTAAAATGACTTATTACGAATATTTAGTTAATGATTTAATTCCAAAGGTAATCTTAAAGTATTCTTCTTGTCTTTATTCCAAAAAAAATAGACCTCAACACAAAATTGTTCAAAATTGACGCTACTGCTATCTAAATAATCATCTATATTCCAAAATTGAGAAGTTTCATCTATTTTTAGACAAATGTAGATATTTATTTTATATATAATCGCTCTATTTTATTCCACATCACCATATAACATTCCAAACCATTCAATCATTCACATTTTATACTCTATTTCATAAATCAATCACTAAATTTTACAGGTACTAAAATCACACCAAACAGTGTTATTTAATTACTTATAAATCTATTATTTTCTTCTAGTAATGAAAGCCGGAAAAGTGTTGCACACAAATGGAAAATTAGAACGTTGAAGTTCTGTATTATTAAAAATATGGGTAATTGATAATATTTTCAAGCAAAAATATTGTTTAATAAAATTAATTGTACATGAGCAAAACTTGCGCTTGCAACATACAAAAATGGAAACAGTAAATTTCAGTCATAATACTGTTCAGCAAAGATTGTCAGTAGATAGAATCAGCTTGATGGTGATTAATTTTTACTAATTATAATTATTCGTAAAATATGAATTAAAATTAAAGTACTTTTAAACAAACTACTGTTTTAAACGTGAAATTTGATTTATTAATTTTTTATTGCTCATAGGGAAATTCATACATGACTAAACTGCATTTTCATGGTGCATTTTCATTGCTCATTGCGCACTTTCATCGATTTTCTATGACGTTGCACTTATAATTTCTTTAGAAATGATTTTATACACTGATTCTTCGTATAAATATTTTTTTAATTAAAATAATTTTATGAGAGATATTAGTAAAAGAAACTCCGTACTAGTTTCTTCTCTACAAATATAATGTTGCTTTTATATTTAATTTCATATATATCGTAAAACGTTCAAATTAGGATTTACTCGATATTTTAATATTTTTATAATGCAACAATTGTGTAAGAATAGAAAGTATATTTAAAATTAGTGAAATCTGTATAATATGCTTTTTAAAATATCTTTCTGATTAATATACAGTATTAATATTGTTATATTTCAGTTAACTTCGTTTTTATTTCAGCATGGATTGAAATTGGCATAAATTTGATGATAATTTACTAATCATATTGCATTTATTTCTAGGATTTTGAGCCCTGTCTGTGTCAATGTAATCAAAATTCTAACACGTTTTAGCCAACGCTTTCAAATAACTGTACTTTTTATATTAAACGCATTTTAAAGGATTCATAAATGTAAATAAACCATTTTTCAAAGACTACATATATCATTCATTTTTAACATTTTAATAATATTTATTTATTCTCAGCCTTATTATACAGAAGTGAGATAAAAAATATAAACTTTTATTTAAAGAAAAGTTTATAGAATGATGACTTATTCATTCAATGCTGCACATGATATTCAAAACTTAAAATTGCAAATAATGTGTATTCTATATTTTATAAGTATATACTGGTATTTAGTAGTCTTTGAAAAATGTTCTAAATATTCTAGCCATAAGTATGAAAAACATAATTTCTTTTAAAATGAAGATTATAAAATTATTATTTCGTCCTAAAATGTATGGCTTTATTACCAGTTTTTAGGACGACGTTGTGGACGCTTGATATTCAAATAAACGTTTTTCTCTATTTAGACACGTTTATTCGATTATCGTTTAAAATTCAAATTAAAAATGAGTTTATGAAAAACCGATGGACAGAAATTTAAATTGGTTAATAAAGTTGGAAGAAATTTTGCAATTTCGTTTTTTTTTAAGAAAATTCTTCAACTTTTCTGAAATAGTTCTAGATCTTCAAAATCCCTCTCGTTTGTCCATCGATATTTCTTCTACTAACCGAATGTTTTGTGTTATTATTTGATTGTTGTATACTAAAACGTAGCTGATTATTAATAATTTTCTTTTCAAAGTGTATTTTCCTGTACTGAATGTTTTTTCTTGTATTTTTCGATGTTGCAGTAAGAGTGTCTCGCCAAAACCAGCGCACGTAGTTCTAAAATATCTAAACCTATATGTAAAACAAAGAATTGTGAAATTGCCGCTAGATTTCATCCAACCAAACAGTACGTATACAATACTGGATATTTTTTTACACATCATTTCATTATTTTCACTATTAAATTTTTCATATAATGTTCACTTTTGCTTTGAAATTCACAAATACATATCATAGATAGATGTGAGAAGAAATAGTTAAATTTTACATCTATGATTTGTATCAGCAATAATTAAAAAAAATAGATTGTTATTATCTTTTATGCTATGATCGGCTCATAATAAAGACATAACTCAAATATCATACGAATCTTTATGAAGTCTATTAAAAATAACTTTGTTCTGCAAAAGCAATAATTTAATAGCATGTTAGAATTTTATTATTAATATTAGCATATAACTAACGAAATTAACTTGCAACTTTACTGCTTATTATAAATTGGCAATTTTCAATTGTTTATTAACTCATATAATTCATACTAATCCCAATTTACATTTTTTTAGATAAAGTACGTTGTTTGTTTCCTAAATTATTTTTTATTTAATTGTTTTGCTCATGCCAAACTCACTAAGTGCTAAGCTATAATTTCTAAAATTTAAATTTGCATTAGTGCTATCGATGAAAATTTTTATCATAACACGTTCTTAGAAATTCTATACTGTTCTTTCGATATTTATCTATCATATACTATCGTCTATTATATTTATTGGTATATTCCATTTCCAGAAAACTAATTACACGACCCTGATCGATTTAAAACGAAATTTTGAGATATCAATCTATGGATTAGAGCGCACATAATTGAGTTTTAATTGCTGCTTTGGCTATCGAAAATTGATTACCTTCATTTTGCATACGAAACTGATTTTCATTAAATCATTTATGCATAAAATTTGCTATGGTATAAATAGTATCATCATAAATAATATCGTTACATTGTAAATTTATATTTCTTTAATGTACTGGGTGTATTTTTCTAGATGTGTGTGTGAATAATTTATTGATTAGTTAGAAGTGTTCTAATTGCTTCTTAAATTAAAGTCACAAGGCTAAAGCACATCAGTCATTTTGTTATATGTATGCTTTGGTATCATTTTATCAACATTTATATTTGATTTTATATAACGAAATCGTTATGTAATGTTTTAACTATATCATTTATACATACTTCACGCATTATTTTGTATTTTCCACACAATACTTTCCACATAAACCAGGTTCATTATTTCTACCCTAAAAATGGATTTAATGGAATACATATATTTATTATATTGTGGCGATACAAGGCGACAGTATTTTATTATGTGTAGAAATAAATAAATTTAGTCGATTATATTTCACTAGTTTGTATTATTTATTTACCAAAAAATAATTATTCAAATTGGTGGTGCCGGTGAGATTACTAATAACACTAAGAAAAAATATTTATACAAATTAATAATATTCTAAATATAATCAACTAAATATTTATATATTTTCATAAAACACTGTAGCCAAGTGCCACAATATAATAAACAGCATTTGTAAATTATTTTTTTTATAAAACCTGGATAACACAAGCTACAACCAAGCTTGCTTTTGTACTATTTTCGAAACCGTTGTATTTAGGTTTACGGAAAAAACATAAGCATGCTATTAAGTAGCATATACACTTTACATGTAAAATTTATATTTATATCTTTATTATTCAATTTTTTTTTAATTTCAGATCGCATGCGCAGGATGGGACTATTCTCTCGCAACTATTTAATTTGCTAAATAAAAAGTATAATAAATTGTTTAAACATCTTATTATACTGTGCTACAATGGAACTGCCACCACATAACATTTTATACTTATACAAATATTTTGCACAATTGTTTGTTAATGTACGTTGTACATTTTTCATACTTTGGAAACATTTAGGGTTAATTTAACACACAATTGATATAATTTATTCAAAAGGATAAAGTTTTACAGATTAATTTCAATGTTTTTATGAGCATATTATTCTTGTTAACATTTCAAATTTTCGCTTTGCTTGAAATATTTGTAGCTATTTGTGATCTTGGGCTCGAAGTTGAAATTTTATAATAGGATATAGAATGCTCTACTAGCTTTATATATTAGATGTATTAAAACAATATTGCTTGTTTCGTAAACAGAATTATTTGACCGGGTGCCTTTTGTATAAAACAACGCACATGCTCATAGATTTCTTTTATTGAAGGATAATATTTTATTTAATGTTTTCTAGCTTTTGTCTATTTTATATAACGAGATGTTATTTTCGAGCTAAAATGCATAAATTTAACAAAGTATGACCCAAACTGCTTTTGGCGTTAGAGACACAACCTTAGGTTAATTGAATTAGTTTTTAAGTTCATTAATATATGCAAATATATATATGTAAATTATAATTTCATAAATTTTATCTGTATTATAAAATATATTTTAAATTACATATATATATATATATATATATATATATATATATATATATATATATATAATATGAATACATGTATGAAATGCAATTATGATGTATTCACATACATCTGGTATGTATAATATTTTATTAATATATTAAGAAAAATTAATTTTAGCCAAATGATATAAATATATCATAATTATTTACTTTTTCTAATATTCACAAATTCAAAATATAATTGTGCACTATTAATAGCGCTTGTAACTCTCATGCATACACGAGTTCATAAAATTGCAAAATTTATATAAATGTGGATTGTATTATTTCGAAGAAGATTAATTAAAAGATGGATCACTATATTTTATTTAGTTGTCTAGGTTGTACTGAAGTTTTTATCCTGAATTAAATTAATTATACCGAATCAGTGTTTTATTACTTAAATCTCATTATTTGGACATCAGCCACATCGTTTCTTCTTTAAAAAAAAAATTACGACTTTTTTATGAAACTTTGTTCCTGGTCTTAGAAAACATCAGTGTTTAATTATAAAGAATCATCAAGGTTTGTTTTATTGAAACTTTTCGAAATTTCAAACTTTTATTGTAACAATTTTTCGGTTTCAAACTTGATGATTTGGTTCAAGTTTGGTCTCATTGTTAACTTCCCGTAGGGCAAGTTATAGTAATCGCAAAAAAATCGAAAATGAAAATTTTTATATATCTTTACGTTTCTAAGGATTCTGAATATTTTGGCATACCTTAGAAATAATGGATGTATTGTGTGTGTGTGTGGGCGGATACAAATTTTCGTCGACGATTTCGGGAGCACGGATCAACCGATTTGAATAATTCAAAAAACATTCGATTCCTATTAATAAGGACACGTGCTGATTAGTTTTTGGCATAGGCAGGTCTGGCCGTTCCGAAGATACGGGTAAAAAGTGCCAAAAACGGTAACTCAGTTTTTGAGAGAATAGAGTGTCCAATTTTAATAATTCAAAAATCATTTTACTTGTATTGACAAGATAAAAAACTGATTAAATTTTTGGAGAGGCAGGTCTAACGGTTATGGACTTTCAATAAAAATAAGTTAAAAAAACGTCTTTTGGCGGTCAAAAATGTTCATTGGACATATGTATATCAAATCATCATATATTTTATAGAGATTTTAATAATGTGTACACATTTTGGGTTCCGTGGCAAGATTTTTAATTACGGTAATTCGTAAAAACAATTTAATACGGAAGTTCCAGCAATTTGCCTTAAGGCATGATGCCATGCACTCCACTAGTTTCAAACTTTTATCGCAACAATTTTTCGGTTTCAAACTTCAATGATTTGGTCTCATTCGTTTCAGAATCATTTGAAACGTCGGGAGAACATAAAATTAGCCAATCGGATTTTTTCGCAAAAAACATATTTTCCTTCGGGAAATTAATAATGGCAAAAGCTAATAATGAAACTAGCTGTAAGTGGAATTCTGTCTTAAGGCAATTAGGGCACTTTCCTACGGGAAGTTAATAATCAATTAAGATACCTATAGGACCTATAGTATAGGTTCTCGGAGTGCGTGCAAGGTTCGCAAATATGCTAGTCGTCGTCTAGGGCCTAGATGTCCCCGGTAATTCGTACCGGCGCAAACGCGGCTCGCAAGCGCTTTGTCGCCTCTTTCAGGGGCCACGGTGGGGATAGGCTGTCGTGAAACCTGTTTCATACATACAAATTCAAACAGTTTCCGTTCGGCAGTCGAAAGTAGGTAGATGATATTTGATTCTCTACTTGTAATTAGTAATTTAGTACGAGGTATTGATTGTTATGGATTAAAGATCACGACGTAAAAAATTAATCTAGGTAATTTGTTTGATGCATTTATTATATTGAAAAATTTGTTTTGATTTACTTTAACGTTTCAGTAGTTATACAATTAAGTGCATACACATGCATTTACCTGTATGTGCTTTTTTGCGCAATTAATTTTGCAAAATAATTTATTAGCACATAACGCCTTATGTTATCTCACTTTTGTTTTCCTATATAATTTTCCATCAATTCTCTATTTTTTTAAAAAAAATATATCTTACGTTAGGTGATGTTGGTTGGTGGTCCGCGCCGACAAGTTCTTTAAGATCGTAACTATATGCCAAAATGAACTAAATCAAATTTAAATCTCTGTGTGCTGCCGTTTAAAATAGTGATAAAATTAATAGTGATATTTCAAATAAACTATTGTGAATTATTATAAACAATAAAATGTCGCCGGAAAGTCGATTTTCGATCATTGTGGGTTTAATATTTGTGGTTCCGGTGGTCATCGCAGCCAGGACCATCAGCGTAGAGGAAAAGATCAGGGATGATTCGGATTTGTCACAGGTAAATTATAACTAATTTATATATTATTATTATATTATATTTATATATGTTTATATATATTATTACCAACTCAAAAATTATTTTTCAGTCGGTAAGAATACAAAAGATATAATCCACTTTTTTAAAATAACAAACATTTTTTTAAAATAAGCCATTACAAGTCTCTTGATATTTTTGATCGATATATATTCGTAATTACATGTTACATGTTAGTTATATAAATTTATGAGCCTTAATTATAGAGTTGTCGGAAAATGACATGTTTTATTCCCTATGAAGGAGCTCCCCATTTTTTCGTTAGTATTTTGTAGTTCATAATTATTCACATCATTATAAAATTCAATGTTGAACTATCCATTAATATCATTGAAAAAATATTTTCAAACGATTTGCCATATTTGAAATAATCAATAAAAACGATTTTATACTAATAGGTATTTCTCGAGAATTTGGCAGCTAAATAATTGATATATAGTTGAAATTATTTATTCTGCACGTTTAAAATTGTACAATCATGTTTACAAAAAAATGTGGAATATTTAACAATATATTTCTATACACTAATATGTTTATGGTATATATCAATATTTTGCATGCAAGTAAAATTTGAATCAAAGTGAGAATACCTGACTCAAGCTATGTCAATATTCAAAAATATTAACGAGAATGGTTTATACTAAAATTTCTCCAGATTTTTGCAGCCTAACTATCAAAATTAAAAAAAGATACGATACATGTAAATAATATACATATACATATACGTACATATATATATATATATATATATATATATATATTAGGGTGGTCCTTAATATGGACATTTTCGAATTTCCTTGCTCCCATAAGGGCTCAAATGGTTCCAAATTGATAAAAAACAATTTTCTGAAAGTTTTAGCACTTAATATAGTTCTTTAGATAGTGCGCAATCAATCAAAGTTTTGTATGGAATCAGCATGAAAAAATTTTCAAAAATTTTAAAAATGTTTTTAGATATACTTTAGCGAACAAATGAATGAGTTTTATTCAAATTTTCAAATTGTTTTCCATGCTATTTCCATACGAAGTTTGATTGAATTGCGCACTATCTAAAAGTTAATATTAAGAGCTAAAACTTTCGGAGAATTGTTTTTTATCAATTTGGAACCATTTGAGCCCTTGGGAGCAAGGAAATTTGAAAATGTCCATATTAAGGACCACCCTAAAATATACATATGTAATATATATATATATATATATATATATATATATATAATATATATATATATATATATATATATGTATATATATATATATAAAACGATAAATATTTGTTATGTTTCGACTGCTGAATGCTGATAAGCATATAGTAGTTTTAAAAAAATATTTTAAACATTGTAACAGAAGAAAATTACTAGTGAAAATTTAAATAATATACATATTCTATACTATATTATGATTATACATTTTTATGTTTTGTTTCATTGTAATCGCTAGTAAATTTTAAAAAAACATACATTTAAAAATATTCAAATTTATTTATTTACATCTATATGTTTTATATAGAGTGCAATCATTCAGCAGTTCTAAAAAAAATCTAGAATGATTTGACAATTTTTAGAATAGAAATTACCAGTGCACAATATATTTTTTTAGATTATTGTACATTGTACTTACTTCTACATGCATTTTTGTATGCAACGCAAGAATAATATCCGAATTTTCTACCAAATATAAAAATACACGACTATACTAGTAAGCTATTTAAATTTCTTTCAATCTTTGTGAGTATACAATGAATTCAGTCATGATAGATTTAGAATAAATAATGTTGATATATTTGAAATATTTTCAACAACCCACATATACTGATCGTGAGTATTTTCAGCCTATTGATTGATTTAGAATTACGAGTCGCAAGAATGTGTGATTGCTTTGAAATTTAACTTGAAATAGAAAACAAAATTGTAACAAAATGGAAAGAAGAAATACAATATTGATATACTTCGCTCTCAATAATGTAGAGGGACTGTTTTTTTTTAAAGCTTTGAAAAAATCTATTACTTCACCGACTATTTTTTATCGCCTTTTGTGTAGATCGCGTCCTAAACACACGTTTTAGTTTGTATACAATATAAATTCCTTCACAAACAAACTGACGGACACGTTTTTTACCAATTAAGTTTGTCCGCGTATTTCTTCGCGAGTTGTATCTCTTCTCCTACACCTGTCTAGACGTACACAACAACCGCAAACGTGTATCACCTGTTTCTTAAATACAACGGTGATTTTTTTATTAGATTTAATTCGTATCAGATTTTATAAGAAACATATTTTATGTAATTATATACTTTGAGCTGGTCGAGGAACGCATGGTAAAAGAACTTTTGAAACGTAAAATTTTATTTCTTTGTTAGATGTAACATTAAACTCTGGCTCTTGGCTTTAGTTATAAAGAGATATTGAAGTTTCTGACAAAAATATTTTAAAGTTTTAAATGTAATTAGCCAATTAAGATAAATCTGTTAGCATGAACATTGAAGTGAGGAATAAAATTTTTGTTATTTTAAATATAATTTTAATGATGGCTTGTAAAAGAAATTATTATTCGTAGTAGATTATCTATAATCTGTTATTATTCTGCATAGAGTATGCACTCTATATTCATTTAATTTCTACATTCTGGCCATATATGAATATTTTTAAAACCTCATCTCTATTGGATATCTTTATCAATAATATTATTGTTAATTTGGTGAGTATGCTTCCAACTTGTGTTATTATTGAATTCTTTACTAGGTGTTATATTAAGTTCATCTACCATATGATATGCAAATACAAAATCCATAATTATTAACTTCCCGTGGTTAAAATGAAATTTTTTATCTATCTTTACATTTCAGAGGTTTCTGAACATGTTGGCATACCTTAGAAAAAAATGATGTATGTGTGTGTATGTGAGTGTGTGTGTGTGTGTGTGTGTGTGTGTGTGTGCGTGTGTGCGGATACAAATTTTCGTCGACGATTTCGGGAACACGGTTCAACCGATTTTAATTATTTAAAAAACATTCGATTGCTGTTGATAAGGAGACGTGCTGATTAGTTTTTGGCATAGACAGGTCTAGCCGTTTCGATGATACGGGGCAAAAAGTGCCAAAACGGTAATTCAGTTTTTAAGAGAACAGAGCGTCCGATTTGAATAATTCAAAAAACATTTTACTTTTACTGACAAGATGAAGAACTGATTAAATTTTCATGAAGGCAGGTCTAGCGGTTTCGGAAATCTAGTGAAAAAGTAAAAAAAAATGCCATTTGGCAATCAAAAATAATCATTAGACATATGCACATCAAATTATCAGATATTTTATAGAGATTTTAACAATAAGTATATTAATCTTTTAAAGTTATTCTTTTAAAAAAAAATTGGTACGGAAGTTCCAGCAAGTTGCCTTAAGGCACGTTGCCATGCGCCCCACTAGCTTATTATTATTTTAATTAAGAGTGAATTTCAAAATGATTTTAATTGTTCTTCAGTAAATTTAATTAGTGTAAAATTCTTTACATTTCAAGAGTAGGTATTATTTCGTAAAAGCTTTATGCACTTGCTGGAATTACAATTCCATTTCATGGAGAACTAGTCAGCTTTTTCTATTAGATATACGCACATATGTATAAATATATATAAATATATATTTTATTATATATAATTTATATATATAATATATAATAAATATAAATATATATATATATATATATATATATATAATGTCATCTAAATATATATAATGTAAGGAAATACTTCTGTAATATTTGGCGCAATTAAGATAAGGCAAAATCTCTGACGTGTACTAATTTTTTTTCTACTTGGCTTACCATTAAAAATTACTGATTTTTTTAAATATTCCAATAGGTATTTTTACCTTATAAAAATGTACATAAAATGTACCATTAAGGCGCTAAGTAGAATCACATATGACATATAGCGTTAGTCGTAGCTAGTATATAGAATTCAAGCCGAGATTCATAGTCTTTAGTTACAACAATTTAATTAAAAAATAATAATAAGTTACTGTCAATAAATATAAGTTACCATGTCGAACTTAATTATGATAATAACACCTAAAATAAATTAATTTGGTGATAAGAATGGACGATGGACCTGTTCAAAAAAATAAAAAACGTTATTAGTTACATCCACTTTTGAGCCTTCAAAGCCAAAAATTTATCTTATATTATTTCTTATCTTTTACTATTTATAGAAAAATGAATTGTTATGCAGTCAATAGTAGTACAATCGATCCGTTCTCAAGGCAAAAACTCCGTATTCACGTTGCATATTAAATTCAGCGTCGTCCACGATTATTCACAATACGATCTATGAGTCATTTTCTTCCTCGACAATTAGTAAGCGTCCAGTAAACGCGATTCTCGGAACTCAGATCGGTTCGTGGACACACATACGAAATAATATTTAAGCAGAGGGCTGAGGAGAAAAAAGACATAAAAACAAGAGTATTTTGTAATATTGAAATAGCCGGTATAATTAAAAAAATCTAGAAAAAAATCTGTGGAAACCCTATAGATCGCAATCAATCTATGATCAAACGCTTTGGTAAACAGTTAAGAAAAATAAAGATTTTAAAGTGCTTAAGGGCGGCGGGAGCCTGCTTTAGAGGCTTTAAAAATTGCTTTTTTGAGGAATTTTTAGGTAGGGATTTAAATATTTATTAGAAACGGAACTTTCGGGTTTTACTGTTATATATTTCAGAATTCTCATTTTTTTTCATTAAAATATATGTTCATTTGGCGAGAAAATTGCATGTCACGATTTCCATCCGAAAAAAGTATCAAATCACATTTATATTTTCAATAGTATAGATTCTATTTGAACCTAAAAAAGCCAGAAAAAAATGAAAAATTTACCAATATTTCGCAACTTGTAAAAAATCATGTTTTTATACAAAATTTCAATTTAGATTGTTTAAAGATTGAATTAATAACTTTTTGAGTTTTCTAGGTTCAAC